TGGCAAATGGCAGATTATCCTGCTACAGCTTCTCCAATAAGGCTGGTAATTAAGAAATGGAGGGATGTGTTGAGATAATTCACAGGGGATGATAGTTTTGATTGGCATAGTCTTCTGTTAAACACTTAAAAGTTTGTACTTTTCCTTCACAAATAAAGTACATAGCTACTTTGAGGGTGTATAAGTATGCGAATTGGGACGCAGCATTGATTTTGGCTGCATAGCTACTTACCAGAATTTCCATTAATTGACGTCAAATTGTCGTTTTAAATACTGAATGTGTAGTAAGTTTTAGAAAACACGGTTTAGATGAAGTAATGCACTTATTAACAATCATACCCTATTCATTAGTCTGTAAAATCTACTCAAACCTGACTGACACTCATCATGCTCGTTCCTGTTTTGATCAGCAGGTGGCCTGGATGGCCTTACTTTCACTCTGAACTTGTCCTTTGAAGCAGAAACACTGATTCAATATCTGCGAGAGATTATGGCTGATTATTTAGCTAAATGGACCACACACGGAAAGACGAGTCATCTCACACGCGCTAATCAATTCAAGATACGCTAGCTATTAGCACCCAGTCGAAAACCCGATCGCACTCGCTCGTATATTCAAGCTTACTGTACAGTCCAGTCCACAACAGAAGAACAGACACATCTGCTTTCTTCACTCGTCTTTCTCCTCCCCGCAGCTCAAGCTTTCACTCGCTTTCTCTCTCTGTAGTGGTTTGAGAAAGTTCCAGACATTCCTGAAAGGATTCCGCTCGGCAGCAGCCAGTCAGCAATGAATTCCAGAATAGCAGGACAGCGGCTAAAAATAGAGACGAGGAGGATTTCATGAAAGTAAGAAAGAAAGTCTTAGAAAAATGTATTTTGGCGGTACCTTGGTACAAATGATTACCACATTGTTTTTTGTGGTACTATAAAAGGCTTCGTTATAAACGTGCTCAGTAAAAAAAGGTTAAATAAGCACATATGTTACATTTAAACCTTTATTTTTTAATTGTGTGGTGTTATCAAGATATCACGTGGAAATCATACAGTAAACATTTAAATAGGTTATAACATATGATAATAATTGTAACAAGTATGGCACTGTATAGCTTAAATGCTGAGAAATGCTGAGACTACACTCGACAAGGTACAGGAGGTGTCACTGGGGCAGTACCTTTTTAAAAGGTACTTATTTGTACCTGAAGGGTTCATAATGGTACCTCAAAGTACTTTTTAGGTACATTTGGGTACTAATATGGCCTTTTGAGGTACCAATGTGGATTCTTTGGGAGTACTCAGTTAAAATACTTGGGTTAAAAATACCCCAACATATAACCCAACTATAGGTTATTATAGCACCTTCCCAACTGTAGGCTATTTTAACCCAATGCATTTGGTTATTTTGTTTCAATGTAATTTTGTTTCAATTCTGGTGTTACTATTGCTACTATTGTTAGTACAACTATTAGTTTTATAAACATGGCTGTGCAAATAAATAACATACAGTTTTAAAAAAATATTGAAAATGCTTTATTTCCATTACATTTTAAGCATTTACACCTACAGCATTTTTAACTGTTTAATATAATTCGGCTATGAAGTGTGCATTTGTATTATCAACAATTAGGAGTGCTAATGAAATCGATATAAAACACATGACACGAAGAGGTAATTTGATTATTGCGTCACAGATTAAATAAACTTTATAACACAAAAACAACATTACGTACGCATAATAATACAGCTGTTCTGTGTCAGTTAAATCAGTTGACTGTTAAAATTCAACATTTTTAACCCAACTGGTTGAGTTATTAAACAAATAACCCAATAAAGGTTAAAAAAAATAACCCAACAAATCACCAAATATTTTTAACTCAACCATTGGGTTAAATAAATCACTCAACATTTTTTAGAGTGTATCTATTGAAAAGGTACTGCCCCATTGACAGCTCCTGTGTCTTTATTTCTGATAGTACTTTAATAGCAAGAGTGATTTAGATACAGCCCTAGTTTCCCGTATTCCAGTTTGTAGTTTGTTTCAGTTATTATGTTCACCTGTGTCTTGTTTAGTTATCGCCTTGTGTTTAAATGTCCTGCATAGGGTTGTTATGACACTGGAATTCGGTACCAATCGATACTGAAATTTTAAAAACGTCTATTTCCCGCTAATATATATGAGCGATGTTGAGCACATTGTTAAACACTGCTTATTTGGCCAATGACTCACATGCTCAACAGAAATGACTGTTATTAGCTGTGAACAGGAGCGGACTGGGCATAGAGAGCACTGGGTGGTCTGACGGTCTATCTGGCCTGCAACCCCCACACCTATTCACTTTGGCCTGACCTTCAATAACTTTTCCCAGTTGAAAATGCTATACCAGTCCACCTCTTGCTGTGAAGGTCATCAGTCCACCAAACTCATCGTTGTTTACTGAGTGTAATCACAGATACAGGGACACTGGTGCGTTTTAAGGTCACGTCGATCAGCTAGTTTGTTTATAAGCTGACATACGAGTGATCCAATGATGATTAGCAGCTTTAAAATGCTCTAGTGTCCCTGTAACTGTGGTTATACTCAGTAAACAGTGGCGAGTTTGGTAAACTTATGACCATCAATGGCAAATCAGCAGCATTTAAGTAATTATTTGGTAATTTAGTATTGTTTGGTACTGAATTCCATCTATAAGTCATCTATAATTCCTTCTCTTTGGGGTATAAATTGGGATAAGACTGAGATTACCTGTTTTTGGGGTTAAAATTACTGCAAATATATCCTCACCCTCTACTGCGCTGCCTTAAGAGCTAGCATAATTTTGCTATTATTTTGTCAGTATGATCTATTGAACCTTGATGGCACCATGTAAATACAATACAGTTGTATTAATGGTAGTTACTCAATTACCGTTAATACAACTGTATTGTATTTACATGGTGCCATCAAGGTTCAATGGATACCATAGTATGTATTAGTACACATACCATAGTATTATACCATGTTAAATACCAAAAATGTCTGTGATTGAATGTTAAAATAATATTACCAAGCATCTAATGTAAACTATTATACTTCAACAATGCCGTTTTTGTGAGTTCTGGCATATGGCTGGCAGGCAGTGAATCAGTCGCTAAGCTCCTGCTGTGTTTGAAGTGAGAAGTATCACACCACCAAAATATTCTCAGGAAGACATGTCTATCCCAGGATAAACTCCCGTCCATCATCCAGAGAGCTCTTTCCGCTGAAGCCCTACACCTCCTGGGGCTTTTTTAGCACCCATTGAGTGTGTTTTGTTAAGAACTTCACTAGAAGTTCAGACAGATATGCGTGGACGTTAGGTCTCTTTCTGTGAAAGCCTTCATCTTTTAATATCCTACTTAAAGCTGTAGGAAGCACTCACTGATGCATGAAGAGCTTCGTGTGTCTCGGTTATTTGGGGGGGAAGAGTTTTTGGAACATCTGCCGTCTCTTTAAGAAGGAATGGAAACAGTTTTAAAGCAAACACTTGGGGTTGCAGCTGTGTTTTATTTGAGAGTCTGTAATTCAAAGACAGATTTCAAAATGGCCACGCATGCACTTTCAACAAACCGATTCACAGATTTGTTGTCTGAGCAAATAATTCAAATTAACTGCCTAAAACATTAGACTTTTCATAGCGTCTGCTTTGAGAAATAAAAGGCATCTCTGAAACATATTAGACACTGGTTTAGTTTACATTAGTTTAAATGGCGTTATAAATATTAATTTTGCAAGTAATTTTGCTTCTAAACGCATTGGCCAGATATAAGTCCTTCGATTTTTCCATGGCAGTTTTCTGTTATTAAAGCTCCTTTTATCCTTCTTTCCATGCACTCTCCTCTCACTTTCTCTCATTCAGCCTCCTTCAAATAAACTTTGCCGTCTGATTTTCGAGAGAGGAAAAGCATTTATGTCGAGAGCCGCTTGGAAAGGGCTGCGAGTGGAATCTTTGAGATTTTATTTGTGGGAAAGCGCTAAAGAAACTGCTGATGGATTCTACATGCCGTCCATTTAAAGCTGAAGCCGAGAGCGTTTGGCATGTGAAGACTCTAGTTAACCTTCATTCAGGCGGGATTACAAGCGTGGCCTGATTTCAGCCCGGCCCATGATAAACTGAGAAACAGAGAAAGTTACCCTTAAGAAAATAAAATGTGTGACTGATTTGTCCTGTAAAAAGTGTAGGATTTGGTTCTTCAAGTCCTCATTAAACCAGACTGAGGTGGATATGTGTCCCTATTTTTATTTTTTTTTATTTCCATTTAAAACGAATTTAAGCTTAAAAACAAGTTGACTCAAATTAAAATTGTAAGGCAATTTGCTGCTCAGCTTTTTTGAGTTGACTCAACTTTTAACCTCTTGACTGAATTTACTGTAAGTTGAGTCAACTCATGCCACAGCCTTGTCACCCTGCAGCCTAAGACCTATTACTCAATGAAGCTCAGCAGGCTTGAGCCTGGTCAGTTCCTGAATGGGAGACCACATTTCAAACTAGGTTGCTGTTGGAAGTGTTAGAGAGGCCAGCAGGGGCTGCTACCCTGTGTGAGTCCTAATGCCCCAGTAAAGTGAAGGAGACACTATACTGTCAGTGAGTGCCATCTTTAGAATGAGACGTTAATTTAAGGTCCTGACTCTACTTGGTCATGCCATGACACTTCTTGTAAAGAGTAGGGGTGTCCTGGCCAAATTCCATCCATCAGCCCTAACCCATCAAGGTCTTCTGATCATTTCCATCCACTGACTTGGCTTTATCACTGTCTCTCCACCAATAGCTGATGTGGGTTCAGCGCACTGCCGCTGTTATCCTTGGCTGTCGTCGCAACATCCAAGTGGATGCTGCACACTGGTGGTAGTGTGGAGGGACACCCGCCCCTCATGATTGTGAAGCGCTTTAGGTGTATGACCATGCGCTATGTAAATACCAACACAATCTCACGCCAATTCGTAACTTTTTGATTTAGTGGCTAATTCGTATAAATTTGTACGATCTAATTCGTACAATTTAGTACGATTTGCTCGTCCCGTAATGACGGTTGGGTTTAGGGGTGGGGTTAGTTGCCACGCCTCCTTTTCAAAATGGTGCAATTTAGTACGACTGAACTCATACGAATTTGTACGAATTAGCCACTAAACTGGCAAAACGTAAAATAATTACGCTTTCTCGTGAGATCAGGCTGATAAATACACATTACATTACAACTCAGAAAGCTCTGCAGCAAGTCCCCTTACTATTATAAGTTGAGTCAACTAATATATATATATAGTATGAATAGGTAGTATAAACTCTGTACCAAGAAATCAAAATAGGCACTGTTTTCCTTTTAAAATGATCCTTCCTGAGATCTGGGAATGGGATCAAATTATCAGTCACTTGAGATCGACCAATGGCAAACCACACAATAAAAAGCTAGGTTGTATAAACCCAATGCTAGGATCAACTATGATCTAAAACAACAGTTAGGTTAAAATATATTTCATTTATATAAATTAACCTAATTTTGCCAAGTACGATGCAATCCTGGATTAACATCTATGTTGATCCTAAAACATAATTTTTGTTCGAAAATGTAATCCATACCTATTCCCTACCCCTAAACCCAACCATAATTGTAAATTATTCAGAAAATCAGAGGGCAATAATAGATGGATAACAATCATGTAGAAGAACAAAAACCTAACCGTAAACCTAAAGGTAAACATATCCCTTAATTATGATTGGCTGATTGGAATGTTGTTCCAGGATCAACATAGATGTTAATCCAGAAACATATCCTACTTGTTGAAATCAGGTTGGCGTTTGTCCATAATTAACCCAAAGTTGTGTTAATATAACAGCATTTTTAAAGTGTGGTTTGCCATTGGTGGAGGTTTGGTCTAACAATCCAGTCAGTTCTGACAAAAACAAGTCTTGCTCTACATTTTTTTCGTATTCGCTAAGTTCGCTAAGCAGTTTAAATTGTCACAATAGAGAAGAAAGGGCATATATGTTGACTTAAACTTCCAGAAATTGGCATACATAGGACATTTCGGAGTGACAGCAATCATAAAAATGCACTCTAAAAATGCTGGGTTGTTGTTAACCAACACTTAAATTAGGCTGTGTACGGTAACGGCTGGGTATTTCCATATTTGACACAACACTCAGGTCACAAAAACCCAGCATTTTTAGTGTGTCCACTTCTGATGCTGCGTTCACAATAGACATGGAACGCGCTAATAAAGTGACCTATTCTTGTGTAAATAGACACGTGAACAGTCTAAGTTCACTCGCTTCACTCAATAGATGCTGATTGGCATGATGGGCAGGGCTGCTGTCAGCCTGGTGACTCTAGATTTGTTGCTAAATGGCTAACATGGATTTTATTGACAGAACAGCTGTTTGTGCTTTAGGAAGGCTGAAAAATAGTGTAGATTCCAATAGATCCTTTCAGAGGTGCACCCAGCTCTGTGAATTCATCAACTCCTCCAGAAACTATACCTGGATGAGGGAAGCTTTCAGCTGTGCTTCAGACTGAGCCGAGCCCAGTTTGATGAGCTGTTGTCTGGTGACGGCAAGAGGATTTCCCCTCGGGACACCAACAACAGGCACTACGTCATAATCATGCCCCAACAAGAGCAAGCACCTGATTAGTTCAGATTTTTCAACTCGAACGATTTTGCGCAAAACGCTTAACTCACACCACTTCATTCATGTGAATCGTATCATTCGCGCAGCCTCATTCGCCAAATCACGCCGCAGGATGTCTATTCAACTCTTTGTATTAACTTAACATGTAAATCACTTGCGCTAGACGCTTCATCAGCATCTAGTGTGAACACAGCATAAGGGCCATACTGAGATAAAAATTTTAAAGCGTACACTTTTTGCTCCCAATAAATCTCAACACATTTATTTTATGATGCAGACAAAGATGACACAGAAGTGTTTTCCATTCATTTTGGTCCCCTACTTTCTTTTAATCCCTGTAAAGGTCATAGGGAACATGAAACAGGGTTTAGGCCTTCACAATTGAAACTATGAGCCATATACTGTTTCTCAATTCCAAGAATGCAGAGAACGGACTTGTGTTCTTGTGGAGAGCGGTCTTGCCAGGTGTCCTCGGAAGAACGAACTCAGGAGAACGCGAGAACAGAGAACGCGTCCTTTGAGAAATGAGATGCTGCGTTCTTCCTGATGGTCACATGACCTTCACGTGTTTTAAATGGTAAATTATTTAAACATTACAGCCTTCATACAACGATTTATTGTTTTTTCCCCTTTTCAAAATATATAGTTTGCATAAAAACATTATAAATATATGTTGCACAATATAAATAAAACAGATTTTAATACGAATTTCAGCAAACAAACACCCTTAATGTGTTTATTCCTTTATTAAGATGTCAATGGTAATGTTTACTTTCACCGTTTCATTTAGGGAAACTCCTGAGGTAAATAATTCATATATATGAACTTTAATAAGTAATCTAGATAAAATGCAGCGCTTCCCACCTCCAGTCGCAATGACTTCTGGGACTTCCAGAGCGAGTTCGGTGCTCAAGTCTGCATCAGTGCGTCCTCGATATCAAGAACACATCCGGGAAGTTTCACGCGTCCTCCGTACTTGCGGTCTTGAGTATTGGAACTGAACTTAGGCAGTTTCACGAGGACGCAAGACCGCTGAAGAACGCATATTGAGAAACAGCCATTGTTTGCAGTTGGATCCTGCTGTTAAAACAGAAATTTAGCAAATGAGATCATAAAAAATGCTGTTGACAGCGCCCACTGGCTTCTTGTAGGATGCATAACCGGCTCACAGAGAAAAGCAGACCTGATCGCGGTGGGAATAAAAAGAGGGATGTGATTTAAGGAGAGTCCGCTAAAAGCCAGTAGGGTTTTGTCTTCGTGGTGGTCTCTACCTGTCACAGTTAAAGGTTTATGATGCCAGATTTAGCCCCCGTGGTTCACAGCTCTTGTAAAATATCTGTGAGGTCATCTCTCTAAAAACACTCAAGCACAAGTCTTTATCTCTTTTCCATGAGGTTACAAAACAGACACACATGAATAGACTCACTCACACACATCTCGGACCATACAGAGTGTTTGCATCTAACATCTTGAAATAAACGATCATTATACCGAGATATAAGGTCAGTCGTTTTCTGAGAGGGTGGATGTCAGTTATGATGTTAGATATTTGCACTGTTATGACAGTAGGTGGACATGTGACAGTATTTATGAGAGAATCATTGATTTGTTCTTTCAGGCAAACTGACTCGTTCAGGAAAACACAACTAGAAATCACACACTTGCTTACTGTAAAATAGAAAAGCAGTATGTGACCAAATAAGTATACATCTACTTATAAAAGTAAACAGTACCTGAATGATGTAGTAGTCTTTCCAGCAATGTTTGAGTTGTGCTAACACTTTAGCCTACCATTACACAAATAGTGTATTGCAGTGAAGCAATGTAACTGATGCTGGCAGGTTAACATCACAGTTAAAACAAGAAATTTCTCAAAAACAATTAATTTCCCAACAGTTTTCATATAAACCGTGCATTTGGCTGACACGAGACAAGACTAAACAAATAAAAATATCGAACAAAACGTATACTATATTGAAACAATAGACAGCTTTAAAGAAATCATCTAAATAATCATTTTACAGATCAGTTCAACAAATGAATCAATCATTCAAACGATTCCCACCACAACAACAATGGCTGTTTCTCAATTCCAAGAACGCAGAGAACGAACTTGCGTTCTTGTGGAGACCGATCTTGCCAGGTGTCCTCAGAAGAACGAACTCGGGAGACCACGAGAACAGAGAACTTGTCCTCTGAGAAATGAAATGCTGCGTTCTTCTCGATGGTCACATGACCCTTACAGGTTTTAAATGGAAAAAGATTTAAACATTACAGCATTCATACAATGATTTATTGTTTTTCCCCTTTTCTAAATGTATACTATGCTTAAAAACATTATTAATAAGCGTTGCACAATATAAATAAAACAAATTTTAATACAAATTTCAGCAAACACAACACCATTAATGTGTTTATTCCTTTATTAAGATGCTCATGTTGCTGTTTATATTCACCGTTTTATTTAGGGAAACTCCAGAGGTAAATAAGTCATATCTCTGAACTTTGAAGTTTCACGCGTCCTCTTTCCTTGGTAGGTAGTAGGTAGTTCCTGAATGATTCGTTGTTGTAGTTGGAATCGTTTGAATGATTGATTCATTTGCTCCTGAATGATTTGATTTGTTGAACTGATCTACAAAATGATTATTGTAATAATTTCTTTAAAGCTGTCTACGGTTTTATTATAGTACGTTTTATTTGCTATTGTTTTATGTTTAATCTTGTCCCGTGTCAGCCATATGCAGCGTTTATATGACCTCGTCTATTATGAAAACTGTTAGGAAATTCTTTTTTAGGAAATTTCTTGTTTTAACTGTCATGTTGCAGACAACCCAGATAGAAAACCGACGTTGAATCGATATCAGTGATCAACGTTATTTCGATCATGAGAAACATCGATTTTAAGTTGAAATTAAGTAATTTTGCTATCTGGCAAGGTAGTGTCAACTGATTCACTGAATCATTCAATTGTTTGTGCGATTCGTTGGAATGAATGATTCATGGTCATTTAAAAATCGTTCATTTCTCTGTTTGAAAGGCAGGAAAAAAGCGTTACTATCATCTATTAATCACTGAATCATTCAGTCATGATAAATCTTGATTCATGACTCGCGCGATAGTAAACTTGATTCTGTTTTGTCTTTATCTGGAAGTATTTCGGTGGAGAAACTGATTAACCAACTTACAACATTCATTCATTCATTTTTAGTCCCTTTATTAATCTGGGGTCACCACAGTGGAATGAACCGCCAACTTATCCAGCATATGTTTTAAGCAGCGGATGCCCTTCCAGCTACAACCCATCTCTGGGAAACACCCATACACACTTATTCACACTCATACACTACGAAAATTTAGCCTACCCAATTCCCCTGTACCGCATGTCTTTGGACAGGGAAACCCATACGAACACGGGAAGAACATGCAAACACCACACAGAAACGCTAACTGACCATGCCGAGGCTCAAACCAGTGGCCTTCTTGCTGTGAGGTGACAGCACTACTTACTGTGCCACCGCGTCGCCCCCAACATACAACATTGTGTCTAAAATGTAAGTTACTCAATATATAAACCTCTTGATAGTGTAAATGTTGTCGATTGTATTTGAAATAAGCAGTGGGCTTGTTCGACTTGCTTAACCTATCAACCTACTTTCCTCAAGTCTGAGCGTGTGAGAACAGATATTTTGGGAGGAAAAGTTTAAGATACCATCTTCTTCTGTCAAGAAGGGAGGAAAACTCCTGATATCAAAGCTAAATTGGCCTCTCTGAAAGATCCCTCTATGACGGATAGCCGCTCAGCCCCCTTCTCTGTTCTGAAAGGGAGGCGTTTTACTCGTTTTTTTTCTTCTTCTGTAAAACAGCAGTGAAATGTGGCCGGGAAAACAAATGAAGAGATAGTGGTTTGAAAAGCATCTCTCATCGGTCTGACCCTCCTGTCTCTCCTTCAGGCTGATGAAAGATTTCCTCCTCCTGCTCCAGCCTCCATCGCACGCAAATCTGGGGGAAACCTGAGAGGAGGACAACAGATGGAGAGAGAAAGAGATGGAGAGGACACAAGATGAGGAGCGAGGTGTTTTTCTTATTCTCAACGTAAATGTAAACAACAGACAGGTGACAAATTCAAGTGCTTTCTGTGTGCCAGTATTAACTAATGAAGTCTACTGCAAAAATATTGCCTTATTCCAAACCCCCACAAAGTCACTCCACTAAATAATTTTGATATACTGATTTGTTTAGTTAATGATGTTTGTTAAAGCAATATTTTTTTGGTTTACTAATATTAATAATATTTTTGCTTTATATATATATATATATATATATATATATATATATATATATATATATATATATATATATATATATATATATATATATATAT